CTATCATGTCACCTCTAGTCCTTCGTCCATCCTTCCGAGGTGGGTGAAATGAGGACCCAGATTGTTGGGGGCGATATGCTGACTCTGTAAACCGCTTAGAGAGGGCTGAAAGCCCTATGAAGCAGTATATAAGTCTAACTGCTATTGCTATTGCTATTCTTTTCCAAAGGTGTTTATTCTTATCTGTTTCCCACCAAGGTCAATGAGTTACTACTAGGATCAGGGGGCGCATGATGTTTGCTGTAATTCTGGATAAAGAATAGAATAATAATGACCCAACTAGGGAACGTCATCAGTGTTCATGAAGATGATGATATGACTGGCGAGGTTCCTTAGTTGGGCTGTGAAACGTCTGCAGGAAAATCCACCCAGCTGAGAGACCACCAAGGACCCCACAATCCAACCCTTCTCTTCTATTGCTAGAATAATATTGCTACAATAATAGACAATACATAATATCTAACATCACCTTCCTGATTTCTGAAGCCTAACATCCTCCTCCCCGCCCTGCTTTCTCTCCCTCAATTTCAGCATAATAAATGAATCTCTTCGGGACCAGCTGCTGGTCACCATTCAGAAAACATTCAACTACAGTCGGAGTCAGGCCCACCAGCTCTTTGTGATTCTCATGGAGTGTATGAAGAAGAAAGAACTTGTAAGGCTCTTATTTTTCTCCATCATCATCATCATCATCATCATCATCATCATCATCATCATCATCATCATCATCTTCTTCTTCTTCTTCTTCTTCTTCTTCTTCCTCTTCCTCTTCCTCTTCCTCTTCCTCCTCTTCTCTTAACGACCCCATAATCTCTTGAGGGATGAAGCCTGGGCACCTGAATGAAACTGAGTGTTTACTGGCCAGATGCTCTCCCTGTTGCCAGTGCTGAGTTTTGTTCAGCAGATATATTCTCATCGCGCCCAGAGAGAGAAATGTCTGCCTCTACCTGGGATCGAACTCACAGCCTCCTGATTGTGAGCCGAGCGCTCTAGGCCACTCTTGTATTGCAGGAGCATTTATGGGAACATTATTTGCCTCTGTTTTACGGCCTTGTCAGTGTTGGCTGACGTGTTCTTGGTGGGTCCTGAGTGGCAAAGGGAAATGCCAGGCCCAGTTCAAATCAACCCTCAGTGTTGTCATGGGGACCAAAAGCAGGGGGGGCGGGCATTCCACGCATACTGTCGGCTGGAGTCGGATCTCAGGTTACTGCAGCCGGTTTGGGAGGGCTGCATCTCATAGGGTAATGTGATTTAGGACACAGACTGAGGGGCGGGAAGGAACAGGGGTAAAGTTCAGAAGTAAACCAAACGAAGCACAGGCTTGGCTGCGAACAGATCCTGCCTAATGGAGCCTCCTAATAAATTGCTAGTTTTGTATTGGAAACTCGACTCGCTAATTATGATTCAGGGCATCTTTAGGAAATCTGGCAGCCACCTTGTGATTAACCGGGCCCGATTAATTGCCCTGAGCAACGAGTGAGAGCAACAGCCACAGATATCAAACGGCAACCCAAAAGGACATCTGTTTTGGGTTTGTTTTTTTTAGGGAATCTCTTCTGATGATATAATCAGCTTGTCCTTCTTAAAAGCCTCCATCAGTGAATGCCTTTTCCCCCCCTCCACAATTGTCCTCATGATAATAGCAGTTAGGAGGTTATGAGAATCTGGTCAGATTAACTCTTAATCCCTGTGTTCTTCCTGAAGATAAATGGGTGCCGAGAGGACATTCTCTGTTGCTCATTCCTCCTTCCTCTTCCGCCTAATCCAGCAAGCCTCCTTAAGGCTTCTAAACTATGCGCTATGCTTTATCCTTGTTTCCATATTAAAGAAAAGGAAAAGGTTTAAGAATCAAATCCTTCACCTCGTCCCTCTGGTTGGACACTTAAGGATTGAGCCGAGGTGGCGCAGTGGGTAGAGTGCAGTACTGCAGGCCACTTCAGCTGACTGCTATCTGCAGTTCAGCGGTTCAAATCTCACCGGCTCAAAGGTTGACTCAGCCTTCCATTCTTCCGAGGTGGGTGAAATGAGGACCCAGACTGTGGGGG